CAGAAAATGACTTCTCCCGTGCAAAGCTGAAAGCCCCTGGGAAGATAGGTTTTTAAGTGCAGCAGCTCCAGCTCCCACCTGATTGCCTGGCCAGTGGGAGCCCCAGGCCCACAGCCTCCTTACACCATTACCCCCTGGTAAGAAGCTACACGCTCCCACTCTGCCCTGCTTGCCTTCTTACTTAAGGCTCTCTGGCTGCCAGCGTGGAAATGCGCCTGCCTTGCTCCACCTTTCTCCCCATTGCCTTGCTGTCTGTGAGGACTGGTAAGAAAACATTTCAGCTGCTCTTACACTTCCACAGCACCCATTTCCTGAGGCCATTACAGGAACAAAATGCTGTCTCCCATCTCCTGCTGATTATAGCTTTATCAGATAATAGCAAGAAGAAGAACTCATCCTGTGAAGCTGTTACCAATACCCAAAGGTACCTGAATGGCAGTGACAGAGATGGTGCTTGCTGCGTTCACCCACCGACAGGCAAAGCTGGAACAGCAGCAAGGCACCGCAGCCCATCTACTGAACAGCCTATCATTACTTAACCTGCCATGAGCAGTTTTTGGCTTTTCTGATTTTCAATGTGTGTGTTCGGCTGGTTTTTATTTCACATTCAAACCTGCTGAAATTACAAGGAAAAGGAGCCTCTTGGTCCCTGGGAGCGTGTTTTCTCAGTGCTGGCTTGACACACAAAATCTGTTTCCTCAATGATGCCTTCCCTCTTACCTCTTTTAGACAGGATGGTGTGAAAACACAATAAAAGCTCTTGAAAATAAATGCAAGGAAGCTGAGAAAGCTGTTCTTCAGATGATACACAGAGTCCTTGGCTCACACGGCTTGAATGCCACAGAGCTCTCCCCTGCCCACCAGCTCCTTGCCTGCAGGAACCCGACCTGCTCAAAACAAATACACACCACTCTAGGGAATTCCAGCTACAAGACCTACTTTGCAGGGTAGCACCCTGCATCCAAGGTGCCGTTGTACAAACACACGCAGAGTCCCAACTCCACGTGACACATCTGCTATGCAGGGCTCAAAACATGTCTTCAAGCAACAGCAGTATAACTACGAGACTTCATTTAGATCACAGGCCCTACCAAGCCGGGGTGAAGCTTTGCAGATAAAAAGACCTGAAGTTCCCCACCTTCACACAGCAAAAATCTCTGCCTGTTAAGTGATTTGCCAGGATAATGGATATTACCTGTACAGGAAAGCAGATCACTCAAAAAACTGTCCAGACTAAATCAGCACAGCAAAGTTACAGCTTGTTCTACTACCACAACAGAAACCCTGTATTCAATTTCATAAACATCAAGCAATGAAAAACACAGCTAAAAAGCTGGTGTAGATATCTACAGAAAAGCCCTCATTTTAGGTGTGAGGCTATTTTTGTACTTAAAAGGCGTGAAATTCCCCTTTTTCCTGGTGGTAAGAAATGCCCCTTGATACCCTCTCTCCTCCAGGACATAACCCAAGTAGAAATAATTTTCAAAACTAATAAGTATACGGGGTAACATGGTTAACATCATCCAATGAATTTAGATCCACCTACACGGTATAAATATATCTAGATAAACTGTCACCTTCAGCAGAATTCATTAAAATAATGTTGTATCTTCCTTGTTAAATGTAATTTTTTTAATTGAAATTTAATCTTACTGTATTATTTGGTAGATTTTTAATTGACATTTGTAGTAATTAATTGGTAAGCATTACAGCTTTGTCTGAAGAATTTAAAACTAAATTTGACATAGAGATTGGCCAGCCACTGCTGTGAGGTGCCTGCTGGGAGCATTTCATCATCCCCCCAGCCCCTCCTGCTGATCAGAGGTGGGAGATGATGGTCTCTTTCTTAGAGTCATGAATTACATTACTAATGTATTCCATTACCACCACGCAAATGTCATGTTAATTTCTGATCATCATCAAGTCAGACAATGGTTTCCACGCTGGCACCCAGCCAATTAGCTGTGTGGAAAAATATTCAGCCAATTATATAACTTGAATTAGGTTAAGGACTCAAGAGAAAGCAAAATAAACGCTTTGAAAATACTTCTGAGATAAAATGTAAGTTGACACTGTCTTCATGTGCTATAGCCGATGTTATACAATCTGATAGGCAGCTGCCAACATTCATAACTGTTTATTAAATCTAGCCTCTCTTTACGGTGGCAGCTAAGATCTGTATTTTTACCAATATTAGGTTCATTGTGTTATGAAAAAAAGACCAAAATACTTAGGAGCATTCACACCAGCTTATAAAACATATTATGTAGTTTATTAAATTGTTAAAATTGCTTCTCCCCTCCTCCTCTGCCCAGCATAAAGTTCCAGACAGAAAAGTTTCAGAACAGCAAAGTCCTTCTGGAGCCACAGATGTCTCAGCAGAGGCACTCGGAGGACAGAAGCGCGGAGGCACCGCCGTTCCCCAGCTGAGCCCTCTGCTTCCTGCCCAGCGCCCCGCACAGCAGGGCAGGGCTCGGCAGGAAGGCTGGGCAGCTCCCAGCATGCAGACACGCGGGTCTGTGGTGCACGCAGTGCTGCACGATGGGGCTTTCAGTACCACCCCATCACCTTGATTTGTTCCGTTCTTAAGTCAATTTATTGTACAAGCATGGTTATCTCCAATTTAGAAACGTACACAGCACCAATTCCTTGACTTTAAAAATTCGTAACGATGAGCCATTTGTTAAAACCTTTCACCGTATCTTTCTGTTTCATTTTCCTAGGTGTTGCAATGAGGCAATTCACTGTTCTGGCTGCTTACCCTAGATGACCTTTGTCTGCCATAAAATGGTATACAACTAGATGCTCCGCTTCAAATAAAGCTCTCGTCTCTTCGAAAGGCTCCACGTATTCAGCCAACACAATCAGAAGAAACCACATTTGGTTACTCAATAAGCTGGAAACTTCTAAAACGAGCAAGGCCATGAATGAATTCCTGACATCATCAGGGACACTCGAGTGGGGAACGAGAGAGAATACCAAGAAGTGGCTCTTGCTGCAGATGGAGAAAGGATCACTCCTTTAAGCTGAACTCTCAAGGAAACGAGAACAAAAACTGAATTAGCTCAACACGTACCCTCTACAGTCAGTCCATTGCTAGGCAACTTCCATCTCCTGATAGAATTATGGCAGAGGGCTGGCCATATATCAGGGTTAAGATGAACATAAGCACCAGTGTTGGCCAACTGCTCCTTTCCAGTGGGACTGTTCAACGCTTGTTCATTTCATATTATTATTTGGCAATATTTTCTAAGCACCTAGAGAGTCTAATGCATTTAGAAGATATTTTAAAGCTATTATGTGACATGAAAATTTTAAGATAACTGGAAGTAAGTGAATTTTATGGTGAATAGCACGAATCTTTTCCTTTGTTCAAGTCAGCGTTTGGAGGGAGTTAACAATCCTTCTTTTTGCTTTTATTTTTTAATACAGGAGCTATCCAGAGGGCACACGGCTCAAATGCCTTGTCTTTACATAGGATGCCAGTTGGCCAGAGCTCCATATCTCCATAATTCAACCCGTGGGGTTAAGGGGATGCTTCCAGACACCCTGGTCCTTCTGTTTGCTACCACTGAGACCAGACACCAAGTTCTATTACAAGCAGTGCCATGGGGCTATCACAATACCATGTTTTCAGCCTCTAATGGTGACTTGAGAGATTTGGACTCCAGATATTATTTACCGTGATTGGAAATGTATCAAGTATATGCACAGGCTGCCTAAAATAACGGCACGTGCCTTGTATGTAACCCCAAGTTTCCTATGCATACTTCATAGGAATAAAGAAATAATTAATTAGCTAACCACCGCAATTAAAATCAATTGATTCACATGCTACAGAGCAGTGAGAAATTCTTGCACCACTGGGTAAGACTGGAATTGCTCCCTGCTTGGGGACCTTGGTTGTATCAGCAAGATTGGTAATTCAGACATGAAGGAATTGGTAAGAATCTTTCTCTTGCATGCACGCTTTGAGCTGCCATATGGGTTTATTCAACTGTTTACTACACCAGTCGGTAAAATCTGAACAGCTATTATAATCTTTGCTAAATGACATGGTAATTATGCTACCTCTGGAAAAAAAAAGAAAGAAAGAAAGAAAAAATGGAAACTTAAAAAAATCACAATTCACTGATGTGTGAATTTCTCTGTTTCTGTAATCTCTGAAATGTAATGCACTTCCTAACACGCAGAGGGATATTAAAACTATAACAGAAACACAAATTTATTTGAAGAAAAGAAAAAACAAAACAATTTATGCTCCCATTTTCTATGGATTTAATTACCTAGATCTCCTAGTTTGTAACAAATTCTCACACAGATCTTGCAATTCTCTTGCATGATCAGATTTCTCTTTCCCCACTCTCTTTGTCTTGTCCAAGTTGGCTGTTGGAGGATTTCTCCCTTTGTCCCCCCATGACGAAGGCAGCCAAGCTTTGCAGCACACGCCATGCTGAGCAGGGCTGGCTCTGCTGTGTACCAGTGACACCATTTTGTCACTGGGATGTAAGTGCAGCAAACAGTGGAGCTAATTACTCGTTGGCAATGGCTCCTCTGAGAGCAAAGCCTCTGACACATGATGGAGTGGAGGCCTCTCCATATTCATATTTAATCATTACATGAATTGCACACACAAGCATGTTTAGACCCTGTCTGTCTGTATGGCTCCAGCTCCGGGCAGCGGTTTTGCATCGCTGAACTCCAGTTACACCACTGAACCCTCAGAGCTCACAACTTCACCGCGGCCTTGAGGGGATGGTGGGAAGAAAGCAAGCCAGGCAGCCTACTTTCTTATTGATAGTATTTGGTATCATGGATATTTCAATACAATTAACGTGTTTATTCGGGAGGTACAAAATAGTGGTGACTTGTTTATGAAGACAGACAGTGCAAAAAAGGAAACCCAAATCCCCACCATATCTAAAAGAAAAAAGGGGTGAGGGAGAGAGAGATTGTAAGAAAGAGTGAGAGTTACTCCGAACTTGGGATTGGTGACTCACCAGTTTTACTTGCAGGCATCACACATATCCACTCATGACTCAGGGCAAATATGGGAAAGGATCGAAACCCTTATCATGGCAAATGTCTGGAAGCTGGAATCACTCAGAAAAAAATGTTCTCAGGAGACTGAAAGACAAAAACGTTTTAAAACTTCACTTAGTTAGAATCATATCAAAGCCCACCGTTTTCCTTTGAAAATAAAAGGAAGTTACAAGTGCTGAAGGTGTGGGGAGCATTACAGGAACATTTCTATACATCAAACATCGCTCTAGCAGACAGCAGAATTTATTTTGCTTTAAATGAAACTGAAACTTACAGTATTAAGAAAGGTTTTTAAATATGCTCTTATTTCAGATTTTGCAATTTGCTCCTCCGACAGGCGAGTTTTTGTTCATTCTAAACACCAAAACGTGTCAGCTGCCAAACCCGTATTCTGCTCAAAAATGGTGCCCTGTTTCACAAAATTCAGACACTTTAACCTACTTTGCATTATCGAAGTGCAACAGCCTGAGTTTCTGAAATATTTACTCTCAGCCTGCACTCACTGCATCCTGATAAAACCTTAACAAAATGTTGAATCTCTTGTTAGCAATAATCTTCCCTCTGAGATAAGGATAAACACATACAAAAACTATTTGATGTTCAGGGTGAAAAGGCAAAATTTGCAAACATCAGTTAAGAAATACCAATTAGTATGTTTTTTCCCCAGCTATTAGTAACACAGATTGAGTTTAAGCCTAGCTCAGAGGAAGCTGCTTGCGGTACAAATTAAACACCCATTTTACTAACAAGGGTTTTAAAAGAGAGGTATATTTTCTCCATTTACAAAACATCCACGTTGAGTATGAACTGATATTGAGAAACAGGAGCAGAGGGCCTGAGGCACACGAGCACTGCACCCATGGAATCAGGTGGGATTTAAGCAGCAGCTCCAGTGCCTGCTGCCCTGATGGATGCACGGGCACGTGGGACAGCCTCTGTGCTATAACCTCCAGAGGAGAAAACAAGCTTTGCAACGGAAGAAGGGTCCTGAGGGACTGGGGTAGGAAAAAATACGAAGGCTGAAATCCCAAGGGTTGCCTTTGCCTTCCATTCCCTGGTGCTGTCCCTGCAGACGATCCCCAGCAGAGTGGCCGCTCTCAGCTCTCCACGTGAACCAGCACTTAGGCAGCGCCAAGGACCCAACCTGTGGCAGACAACCACCACAGCAGCCTTCCTCAGGAACATCTGCAAGTGACATCTGCAAGTCTCAGCAACAACCGCACCGAATTTCAGAAGGGAAAAAGGTGGAGGTTTTTTTGTGTTAGGTTTGTTGGTTTTTTTTTTCCCTTTTTTTAAATACGCTTCTCTGGCCTCGGGGCTTTTCCCATTCTTAGCTGAATGCAATACAATGGCTCAAAGATGATCACAACAGTTCAGAAACCTAAATATAGGGATTACGCGACCCTATTATAAAACTGTGCTGCACAACAAAAATAGATCCAAGAGGGCCTTTCAAACACCAGATCTGCTGAACGCAACTTCTTCCTCAGAGGCTCGGAAATACCTGCAAACCAGAGTGACCTGCATCCTGCATCAGCCTTACTTTATTCATGAGGAGCTAACACTTTAGAGGAGCAACCAAACAGTGCCAGAACACACATCCGAGGCTGGGTTTGTTATTGCAGATGAGCATAGGGCAGAGCACAGCTGCACCTACACACACAGCCTGTGCCCATCACAGCTGCTGAGCAGCCTGTACCATCACACATCTGGAGGTGTGCAAGGGAAGGAGCCCAGCGAGGCCTGTGGGCACGGAGGCTGCTGTGGCTCCTCCATGGAGCACGGCCCGGAGAGCTGGGACACGGCATGCTGCCTGCGGGGAGAGGAACGCCAGGGAGATGGGTTCTGATAAACTGAAGCCTTTAATGATCTGCCCACGCAGTCAAGTTCGATCTGGCATTGACAAATTGAGGCTTTTAATGATGTGCCCACACATTTGAATTGGATGCTCCTCTCCCGCACGTTTCACAAAAATAGCCTGCTGGGTTAAAGACAGCAGCTCTAATCAACCTGTAGAGATGAGCAAAGCCAAACTGCTCTTGGACCAACTTCTCCCACAGAAGATTCTCTGATAAGTCCTCAAATACAGATTGTCCCCTGCGCTGTCTCACTCCCATATACTTTCTCTGAGGGCTACAGCTAAGTAAGGGCTGATGAGACACAGCAGCTTCAGCGTAGCTGGAGTACAAAGTCAATCAAACCTTGAAACATGAACCTGCGTTTCATTAATCCCAGCAATCACATCGTTTTTATTATCACTGTATTAATCAGAATAGGAAACCTATTAGTCTGCCCCTAACAAAAATTAATCTTCTCAATATTGAACAGATTGAAAGACAAGTTCTAATATCTCACTACTTACATCTCCACAGCAAAGGCACACGGGTCTGATGGCCTGGAGAACCACTACGACCGCATCCCACCAGCACGAGGCTGGTCCTCTCCCAGCAGGACCAAGCTGGTGGGGAACACCACACAACCAAGGCGGTGGGAACACAAACACGTGGCTGGGAGCCTGAGAAGCGGCGTGCTGATGGAACAGACTCACAGATACACACACCTTGGGGCTCTGCTCTGCAGGATACATTTCAAAGCCCCATCAAAGGTAGAACTTCAATGCACCACTCACATTTGGATGTTTATTGACTGCAATGAAACTATAAATACTGTTTTCACTAACGATTTCTTAAAGCCATGTTGCACAAAAGAAAACAGGTTCAACTCGTACATCAGCGCCTAAGAGACCGCTCCAAAACAGACAACTGTACGAAAAGTTGTGCCCATGTATACATATACACAAAACTGTTTTTAAGTGACTGTTTTGAATTAGAATAAATCTGTGTTCCACCAATTAAGCTTTGAATGCACGGCTGATACCATTCTCTATCTGAAACAAGCAACACAATAAATGCAAAAAATCAAATATTTTAGAGAAAATACTTGGAGAGTTGAGACATTAATTTTGCCATATACAATCTGTTCCACAGGGATTTAAACAAGCGTTATTGCCACCCTGGGTACATTGGAATAGAGACGAAACCACCATCCTTTCCTATTTACATATTAAAAAAATACATGCCTTCTTGATACAGACTACAATACAGTCTGTCTAGAGAATGCAAAGCCATGAACTCAGTGCATCCTTGCGAGCAGTGCTGCACTCCAACTGGTTGCAAGTGGAGATAAAACACAAGTGCAGACAAAATGCTCGCTTGCTCGTCCTTGGAGTCCTGCAAGCACCCAGGGAGAGGGGCTGGAGCAGCCACAGCTCCCCAGGGCCCCACCTCGGGATGGGGCTGTTTACCAAACACCGTCACCACAGCAAAAGGAGAGCAGGGAGAGCAGCCTGCAGAGCTGTGCATCTCAGGGCGTGGGCATCAGGGGATGAGAAACAAAGAAATATTTAGAACAGCAAACAAGCAATCACAAACAGCAACAAAAACAAACAGCTCAACCCAAACAAACAAACAAACTATATATATGTGTATACACATACACATATATATAGGTATATTTATCAACCTTGTTCTTATTTGAATCTCACGTGCATTTGATTTTAGTTTGAGAAGCTCTGCAATTTCCTAAAATTTTTCAACACGGATGTATCTCCAACATAACTTTAAAAAACAAAGAAAAAAAAAAAAAAAAAAAAAAAAAACACCAAACCAACATTAATTGCCATCAGAAACACATGCCAAAAGCATCCTTAATAGGACCACAAAGGCTGCATACAGGAGGAACTCGCTGAGAGGAAAGGTAACATTTGTTCTCCCTTTCAGCTGGGATCCACCTCAACTTTTTGATGTCGGCAGGAGCTTTTATTTGCAAATAGAGCAGAGCTGCTTGGGATGGAGGGCTCCTCCAGAGCATGCCATGTGGCCTGCACAGATGTTCCTTTTATTCCCGTGTCCCACAAGGCTCCGTGGCTCGCTGGTGTTAAACAGATTACGCAAGTAGAACACTTGATTTTGCATGTCCCCTTTTTTCCAACAGTTGTCTAATTTACTCAACTCATTCTGCTCCCCCTTCCCTCCACACACGCTAAGGCAAGCACAAAAAAAAAAGGAGGCAGAAGCAAGAAAGTTTCTCCTCCACAATCAGAATTTGCAGAAACGCTCAGCGCCCGCAAACAAAGTAGGAACGCAAAAGAACAAAGCTCTTATTTCGACGGTAAAATAACGAGCTTTGGCGCCAGGATCTTCCAAAAAGCCTTCACCATAGCCCAGTAACACCAGTCGCTACAAGTATCATAATCTCTCACCCTTATTTAGGTGCCCAAATGAGAATTGAACTTTTTCCAAAAAATACCTAACACCAATTATTGGTGCTAAGCATTGAAAATCCTTGAAAATCTGGCCTTCAACTCCGGCACAAAGCAGGGGCTTAATTTCCCGGCTGTCAGGCATCCCAATCAACAACTGAAGTCAATGGGATCTACACAGTACCTTATTAAAAAAAAAAAAAAAAAAAGCCTAAGAGGCCCATTAAGCAACAGCAGCTCCAGCAAGGCAACCTCACTGCGCAGAGACAGCAGCTACACGCGGCTTTGTGCATCAGCCACTTCGCTCTCACACTTAATTTGATTAATCATTTTGGTATTATCCCCAATTAGAAAAGTGTCTAAGTGGAAAAATAATCAAAAAAAACTGCTTAAGATTAAGACAAAGAAGAAAGCAGCAGCTACTGAATGTGCAACTACTTAGGATTTCTGGCATTTGCGAAGGATACAAAATTAAAGCAAAAAAACTGCGGGCAAAATGCAAAGACATCAGTGTTTCATACAGACTGCAGATTTTGAAATTTTTTTAATAAACTCAAACTGAATTCCAGATGTTGAAAGTTGGGAAGTAAAAAGAGCCTTAGCTGTAAAAACACAGAAAGGTGAGACCAAAAATTCTGCTGAAACCTAACGATTCAAACACCCTGGAGTGAGGCACTCGCACCCTCTCCCAGTGCTTCCCCCCTCACCCATGCCAGAGCAGGTAGCAGCACAGGGGCTGCACAGGCTCCCATCACAAGGCACAGGCTGGAGCAAGCTGCTGGGAACTGCACAGGGAGGAATGCAAGTCCCAGCACCACTGACC